CAGGTGACAACCGTGTCACCATGTAAGGAGCCTGTCACCACACCATGCAGGTGATGACCATGTCACCACACTGTGCAGGTGACAAGCGTGGCACCAGGCCGTGCAGGTGCAGGGCAGCCCGAGGAGGGACGGGGCAGCGAGCAGAGGCTTCTCCCGCCAGCGCTGCAGGAGCAGAGGCCAAGGCCCCGCTGCATCCAGTCCAAATCACTTACCCAGCCAAAAGAAGACACAGCAATCAAGTCAGCTCTTAAAAAACTACCTAAAATCAATCCTCCTTAAAGCCAGYGCTGCTCACTTTAAAGCACGTATCATTTAAAAGCTGTATCTCACCCTGAAGCAGTCACTTCAAGCAATTAGTTGAAATCTTAGTTTGAGAGCGCTAAGCCATAAAAACATCAAATAGTCATCAGTCCTCATGGACATTAGTCAAGCAAACTGTCCAGCTAGATAGAAATGAGCAGCTTACTGCTTAGTGCCAGGGTGCTGATGTGTGCGCCACCAGCTGTATTCCTACCAAAGGCAAAGGCACGGAATAGATGAAAACACAATACGAAATGGCACACAACAGGGAATGCAGAGCCACCGCGTCACCGACTAGCCCTGGAGAGCGGGAGGAGCAGCTTCTAAGAGCAAGGAAGGGATTTCCCCGGAGCAGACGGAGCCCGGCGCTGCGGCCGCACGGCGGGAGGGGGGGTGGTGGTGGGAGCGAGGCGGTGCCGAGCGGCGCCTGACGCCCTTTCCCGTTGCAGGAAGAACCGCTGCTTCCTCCGCACGGCCGCCGCGTGAGCTGCGGGAAGGCCCCCGCCGCCGACCCCGCCGAGTATTTATTATTGACTGTTCACAAGATAGGACACCGAGGCACCGCTTAAATATATTTAACATGGTGACAGGAGCCACTAAAAGGACTTCAGAGCGCGCTGGAGAGCCGCTGCAGGATGACTCTTTTGCCAAGCTCAATAAAAGGACTCAGCAGCTCATGGTCGTTTGGTTTTGTAAGTGTTTGCAGGTTTTTTTTTGGTTTTTTTTTTTTTACGTGTGAATTAAAACTTGTATTCTGCAAATACCTTGGTTTTCCTTGCATCCTGTTAGGCACACAAAGCACTCGCAAGAGAAGTGCAGGCTGCTGGCTGGACTTTAGTCCTCTATCCCAGCCCTGGCAGGCGCCCGCGGCAGATCCCGATCACGCCTCCAGCGCATTGCCTTCCACAGCGGAGCCGAAAATTCCACTGCAACCCAAACAGCGGCTCTGGGAAAGGAGGGGACAGGAGCACACGGGGAATGAGCCAGCAGCGCTTCTGCGAGGCCAAACATATCAGGGTCCACCTTGCACAAACACTAGTTAACTACTTAAAATACTTACATTTAACCCTGCTTAAAGAAAATTCATACTGTGACTTGTGCACAGAAATGCTCATTATTTTCAAACTATTTTTATCAGTACCTACTTTTTGATGAGAGGCATGTGAACGGAGAGGACTGCCAGGAGTGGAGCCACTTCACGCTGGCAAATACCGGCAGCTCTGGGAYACCTGAATAGGGAAAGCTCTTTTCCTTTGTCACAGGCAGAGGATTAGACCCAAAGAGGCTGCTTAAACTGTAATACCACTGAGGAGAAAGCCCACCTGAGAGAGACAAGCACAGTGTTTTTAAAATTTAATACAGAAAATCTATTTGATATTTATTAAACTTAGTTTCTCCAGTTACAGTTTTGCATTGTACAAAGCATTTTAATGACACAGTAGTTAAAAAGATCTTTACAAATTGAAATGTGATACCCTTTTCTCCAAATATTTTAATTGCCATAAATTTGTTTAAAAATACACATTAAACGCATGTTTCAGACACTAAACTTTCTATAATCTCAATACCACAAAATACATAGAATATACTATACAGATGTGGAAAAAATCTAGTTAGTATATAATACTTTGCTCACCATTAACAGCTTTATTACGTGAAATGCACATACTGACTTAGAAATCCTAATTTTGAGCCCCAAAGTACCCTTTGAAATTTCAAATGTATTGCAACAAATAAAATCACAGTCCTTTTTTTTAGGTTTTGGTTGAAGACAGATGCCTAAATATTTTGATAGAAACAAAACGTAACACATGGACTTGTCATGTACAAAGCATAAAACAGAGACATCCCATTAGTTGCTAACAGTACCTTTCTGTATGATTAATAAGGGCTTCATTTATAAGCGACAGCTTAAAAGTTACCTTCCCCCCCCGCCAACCCTCCCCCAAAGAAAAACCCTTCTTCACCAAATAATAATTTCAAATAAGATAAAGGATTTTTAATAAATATATAAGCACTTTATCCTCCATATACAAAATTTCTTAAAACAATTTAAAAGGGGGGACCAGATACAAATGTCAGTGACTGTGCTTGCAAAGTCCGGCGTGCCGGCAGCGCCGGGAGCCGCTCGGCGCCGGGAGCCGCGCGCRGCGGCACCAAGGGGCACGCTCCCGCGACGCTGCCGGGTGAGATTAAAAACCGGGGAAGCGTTTGCACAGAGACAGCCTCTAAACACCCCGCGCCGCAGCACGGCCGGCGCGCGGAGGAAGGCGGCAGCCTCGCGGGAGCCCTGCCCTCCGGCCTCCCCACAGCGAGGCCGGCTCCCTCACGACTCACGGCTCGGACACGGGACACGATTCCCGGATTGCTGGAGCTTGCAGAGCCTCCCTCCGCGCTCGGGAAGCTTCTCCCCCGGAACGGGTCGGCGTCTGTCTGAGTTGGCGAGCGAAAGCTTTGGCTACTCTTTATGTTTGAGGATATCTAGTATTAACTCTGCTGCTTGGAAATACACCGTTTTCCATAACACTGATTCGTTCGAGAAAGCAATTTAAGCCCTGACCAAACTATTCACCAGGAATCGAGGAATTTGGAAGTTGCTTATTCCCCAAGGGGCAATTCAAACTCGACTTGCTCAGGCCCTTTGTATCTGCCTCACTATGAACACTGCAGTGACAGTAAATATCCGTTAGGTAAATGAAACATTAAATACAGCAAAGGTAGTCTCTCTTTCCCTTAGTTTCCCATTTTGGCAAACTACATAATTATCTGCCTACGGCTTTATTTTACTTGCCCCAGGCAAGCACTACATTATTCTCATAAAGTCCTGACTCTCTGTATGTTGGGGCCATTCATAAATACATTTCAGGGCATTTTTTGTTATCACAGCAATCAAGCCTCAGCAATCTAAAGGAATATACATTGCACTCCTGTATAATATGCAAGATTTATCACCAATAAGATGGCGACTCAGCACTCAATAAATAATATATCAATATAGTCAGTTGCACCATAATCTAAAAACAAGTATAACATATACTTTGGACAGACTGAGTTCATATATATATACATATATATTAAAAGACACATACAATACAAATTGCATACTGCCGTCAAAAGCCAAGAAGAGCCATCCATATGCTCCACTTTATGGCTAATAGTTTCAAATTAAAATAAAAGTCTTGGGGCTGTTTTACTCCGGTGTCCTGAAGAGTTATTTAGAATTGCAAATGGTTGCACCTTACCGCCTAGGAACCCGCGCGTTTGACCGCGACACCGAACGGCACCGCTATCTGAGCAAGCCTAGTCTGATGGAGCCACCTGGAAGGTTCTGCYGGCTGCGCGGGCGAGCGGGCTCCACTCGCAGGATTCCCGCGTGTCCCAGGGCTTCCCGAGCGAGCGCCGCGTTCCGAGCCGGAGCCGCGGGCAGCYGGGCGCCCCACAGCCGCGCTCTGCACCAGCCCCGAGCGGGGCCCAGGACACAGTCCAGCTCCCTGCAACCGCCGCCAGCGCCAGGCGGGAGCCGCCAGCCCTCCCTGCATCCGTCTGGAACAGCCCCTGATGAGCGAGGCAGCTCTTCCCACCGGGAAGGGCACGGCAGGCCAGCCCTGCGGAGCGCCCTGCTCAGCTGGGACACGCTCAACCAGCTCAGCTCCGCCTTGCTACACCCCAGGAAGTCTTCTGGTCACCCAAAGACTATTTCTCAAGATCCACCGATCTAGGGATAAGCAATATATTTTTAGGAGACCAATTTTGTACGACACCAAAAGGTATTTGTGGGACTCTAGTTAAGGAAAAAAAATTCCCAGAGATGAGACCATTCCTGCTTACAGCAATGGTACCTGTGCACAAAGGAGCAAGCCAAAAAACAGCCATGCTGGCTAGTGCAGCACTACACAAAAAATAAACTATGAATGCAACTTCTAAGAAGGTATTTTTACATAGCGTCAAAAGTGTGCTAGGCACTTTAGAGTATTAAAGAAAAAAACAGTTGACAGTGTCCCATTAACCAAGATGCGGAGTTCGAGGGTACAGAGTTCTGTCTGGAACAGCAAACACGAAAAGAAACGTGATCTTGCACAGTGATTCAAGAGGAAGGATGCTCCGACAGACCCGAACGGCAACGCGAGGCGGCTCGAACGAAAAACTCTCAGGTCTGTTCCCTGTGTGTCAGTCTGTTCGTAGCAAAGCTTTTCTGGAAGTACAAAACAAGTTGGAACGCAAAGGAAGCTCTATGAATATGCAGCTACCTTTTAGTAGGTTACTAATTTGCAAAACTCCTAAACTCTTAAAGCCCATAGGACATACTGCAGTACTAAGGAGCGGAGAATTCTATTCCTTCTTTCGAGGTCGCCATCCTTTTGGCACTTAACTACAACTACACAAAAATTTAGTGCAATAATTTTCCTGAACATGCACGTTCATATCCGGTAYGGAATAAGGGGTTACTGGGAGATAAAGCAGCTTCTGCCATCRCACTCTCACGTCCTCAGAGTTCGACTCTTCCAAAGGAGACCACTGCAATAAGGAGCCAGCTCGTATGACAGACACTAGTACTTTTAAAAAGGGAATGGAATTTTGCCAAAGTACTGCAGAAGACCACTGCATACAGTATCCCTGGTCCTGCTGTAAAACATCTTGTAAACAGTTCATAAAATCTTCATCTAAAAGTAAGGCATAAGGCACACCAGACATGTTAGGGGCACTAAGCAATACTGAAAGCAGTAGCAGTTTAAACCTTTGACTCGGACAAGCACCTTACGTGGAAAGGTACTTTGGTTTGCACGGTTTAAGAGCAGTCAGCTGCAACTCCACCAACCGCTTCCGTTGCACCAAGTCGCTTCCTCTAAAGGGAATATTCTGCTCCGTCAAACACACCAAGCGGTAACGGGGCTGTCACCGACCGGGGGCCAATACGAGCCGTGAATCGGCGCTGCTCTGCGCCGAACAGCGCGACCAGCTCCCTGTGAAGGCAGCTGTGCTCCCACCCCACGATGGCTGCTGCACTGTCAAGCTGTAGTGTCCATTAGCTATCAGTYCCTAAAGGAAAAAAATGGACCTTAATTTCTACTTGAGATTCCTGGTTTCTCAGTCAATGCAAAAGATACAAAGGACAGTTCTGGTAGGAATTCAGCTACTGTTGGTTTTCTAACCACCACGTTGACTGATTTTCAAAGTATCAAAATCATGACAAGCAAGGAGACAAAACCTGTTTTGAATGAAGAGATACAAAAAAGCACAAGATTGTCCGTTTCAGAAACCTTTCTTGTATGCACCGTGCCGCTCAGACTGAAGTTCATTCCTACACCATTACTACTCTGATAATACATCAAATGCAAATTACTGTAATGTTTTGTGATTGTTATAGTGTTAAATTGATGCTTTGAAACTGCCTTGAAAACAACCCAAGTCAGATCCAATTAAATATTTTTCCATATAAATTTCTTTATAATTCTTTTAAATGAAGTATCTTAATACGTAGAAGAATATCTGGAACTTTTCTATTTAGTACAAATTCTGCAATAATAAATCTGTCATTGTCATTTATTAGTTGACTCGTAGGCATTAGGCATGACAAGTATGGTGTCCCTACACTCGAGAACCTATCAACCCTATCGTACAGGCTCTACCACCACAAGACATTACAGAGTAACAAAGCTCACAAAGTACTTAAATAAAGTGTCTACGTTTAATTTCTGCTAAGTACTTGAAAGGGTAAATTCAGTGAAAAAATAGCTAAAACTGCCCCAAATTGGGCTTTTCAAAATTAAAAAAAGATTAAAATAAATAGGATTTAAACTGGCTAGTTATGTATTATGACTGGAAATCCAATGATCTATCCATGATAGATCAACAAAACTACATCTTTACATGTAGCAAATTTTAAAATATTTAAATAACTTAAAACGGGAATACTGAAGAAGTCCATTAACCAGCTCATTTGGGATTAAAACACAAAACACATATGAGGATGGGAGACGTGAAAGCATTCCTTGCTCTTAGTGTCAACTAAGCAATGTGTTATGGCAGTCTTCCTTATTGACATGACACAGTGTTGTGGAGATAAATCAGAGGCAGCGAGAAAAACATGTTCTTTTTTCCATTCCTTCAGTTCAAAATATCACTTGGCATCCAGGCGCAACCAATGTAATCCCTGACGGGTGTAACGCACTAGGTCTGTCATGATGCTTGAATTAAAAATCAGAGGGCCCATAACTTTATCCAGTTCCGCAAAGAACTCTAAAATAACAAAAACACACATTAAACTCTGCACATGTTCTTTCACATTGTCTGCTCTGCCAGAAATAGCAGGCTAAAAACTGCAATCTTTTCCACACAAATCCTTCAGATTAGGACAGATGGAAGAAATGCAATGTGGCGGAATGATGAAAGAATAAATATATGTATACACATATACGTACACAAGTGTGCGCACACACACACACAAGGTTCTTTTGAGTTGACATTACTACCCTTTTGCAACAGGCTGGTTGATATAAATATTTCAAGTAAGGTTACACTGCTGCAAAGCTTTCTCTAGCATTCTCCCTACGATGTGCGTATTCCTTCAAAAAAGAATTTTGGAAATGGAAGTGTACTGAGCACATCTCAATATACTGAGCAACCAGCAGGGAATTTAATGATGCTTTTTCTCTTTCATAAGCAGCAAGGAAACACTGCCCCTCCACCACCACCTGCATGACCCAGACTGCGAGCCCAGGTYGCTGCAAATGCAGCTACAACTCTCCAGCTTTTCCTTGCATAGCCCCCACTCAAACACCCTGTGCACTGTTAACGCAACTCCAAAATGCAAAGCCTAGTAGCACATCAGCACAAGTGGGTACAGCTGATTTTCCAACCTGCCTGCGCACACCTTACCTTTCTGTTCTTTCGACAGCTGTTCGGCTTGGTCCCAGATTTCAGTGGCGTAAAGGAAGTTGGAGGTGACTTGGACATAGCTGGCTGCCATCTGATGGATCCTCTGGGGGATCGTCACCGAAGACCCGCTCCCTGAAGGGTTGGCTGCTCCAGAAGAGTAATTTCCTGAATTCCCTGGAGACAGCTTTGGAGACACTGGAGACGGCATTCCAACAGGCTTGCTGCTCGGCAAAAGGAAAGCATTAACATTTGTTAAATATCTCCCGGTGCACTTCAGATGTATCACGCTATAAGGCTCTAAGACGTCTCTTCCTGCATCTCAGAACCTGACATGCTAAACCATGCCCCTTTTACCCGAGAAGTCAGGATTTGTCCTGCAACAACGGCAATGYGGGAGCTTTAGCAGCTAAGGATCCTCCCATGGATATGCTTTGACTTCATAACCAAACCTCAAAACTCTTCATCTTTTACTTACATCTTTTATATCAAATTTTAAATTCATTCATTGGTTAAATAAATTAAATATTAAATGATAAGAAAAACACAATCAATATTAATTCTAATTAATTAATTCTAATTAATTCTACACTACCATAATGTTCCATTTTTCAGTGATATAGGAGAAATCTGAAATAATCTCCTAAAATTTTGAAATTTGATACTTTAACTATCAAAGGTCTTAAGGTTTTAAAGGTCTCAGGTTTGTGCGTAACCTGTGTGTTAACGCCACATACCCTTTCTTGCAACAAGGAGTTGCCTGACAACCTATCTTTGCAGCACTATCATAAGCAGCAATCCTCCATTCTTTTATCAGAAAAACTGAATCAAAACCTAGACCGGGAATTAGCCAACAACCACCACAACTCTCATGAGTAAAAAGCTACTTTTGGACATCCTCAGGAACACAGTTTATGCAGGAAACTAGCTAAAATTGATAAACAAGTAACCATTTTCGCTACTTACTTTCCCATGCCAGGTGATGGTGCTTGAGAATTGTTATAGGAATTCTGTTTGGGGAAAAATAAATTTGTCACCTGATTTAATGCTTGTATTTAAGTGGTTATCAATAGTAGCATTAAATAAATGAGGTTGTGTGTCCTTTTTTAAAAAAATCAAAATAATATGAATTGGCACTTTCTAATTTGAGAAAATATGATGGCTAAGACAGAGAGTAAGTGATGAACTTAGCAACACAAAACAGGCCAATAAACACACATAGCATTAGAGCAGCTCTTAGTTCTAACCATCTAGATTAGATCCTGCTGACTCTTACGATGTTTAATTTTCTTCAGCCCATTAACTGGAAGAAATCTCTTATTACTGGCATTGAACTATTAGAAGCATCTACTGAAACTCAGAGTCCTGCAGAGAGAAGACTCTGCAGAACTCGAGTCCTGAAACTCAGGACACTTTAGAAGCCTACTTTCCTCCATTTCAGAACTGAGGAACATTGCAGAAAAATCATAGCTGGCTTTCTCATCTTCAGTATCTTGATTCAAACAAATTCCAAGAAGGTCTCTTGGTCTCCTTTCCACGAAAGGACTTTTAAGTCAGTTATAGAGAAATTTAGAYAAATTCATAAAAGGAAATCTGAGCAGTCAACTGAAAACAACAAGAGTTCAGAAAGACCAGTTTGATTGTGAATTAGAAGTCAGCTTTGATGACAGCTTTTGCTACGGTAGGACAGCTGCATGCAATGTACCCCCAGACAATTCCCTTAAACTTAAACATGAAAGCAAAGGTTCAGCTTTGCTATAACTACAGCAAGAAAAGTGTTTTTAATGCCCCTTCAAGCCTACTAAGTTATTCATTTATTAAGTCAGACAAAAGCTAGATCAAATAATGAGTGGAGAGCCATTGCACTAGGACTGGCAGGGTTGGGACATTACAGTCAAGCTGTCTCTTCTCAACTTTAAACCGCCCAACTTGAATAAACTTTCAAGGTCCCAGATGCAAATGGGGTTTGTACCAGAATTTCCGTGCAGCAGCACGAAAACTAGAGAAAGGAATTTTGAGTGATGTAGAGTTTCAACTTTAATAACTTTTGATCTTATAGGAAAATATATATGCAATTACCTTAAGATGTTCGGTCAGAGTTTTAGAATATTTCAATGCACTTTCCTTCTTCAGCTTGAAAAGCCTTAGGTATAGAAGAGATTGGCACCGAAGACTGACCAAAAATAGAAGAGCAAAACATTTATAATCAAGTCAAAGATAACACTGCTCAGCAAAGTTCAAAAACCTAGCAGTTGCGTGTTTAAATCTTTATCTCCCAACTCTGAAAATCCAGTACTTTAGTTAAAACTTTTGCAAAAAGTCCCTAACAATCTTTAGCTTGCCAAGGAAGCAAGTATGTAGCTTTGTGCCTTACTATCACCAYCCCAATGTGCTGGTATAACTAAGTCCAGCTCTGAATTCAGGAGACAACAGAGACCAGGAGGTCAGAAGACCTTCTAGCCACTTCATTTAACAAACTTTTTGCATCAACAGTGCAATAGATATCACATCAAGGAAGTCATATTCTAAAATATTAGCACTAGTTGACATAACATTAGGAAAGCCTGACAAAGTGAAAAATTAAATAATCTTCTTAACAGTTCAAAGACTTGTCGCAAGTTATCACCACCTCTTCCTCCCCACTTTGCAATGACCAGATATATAACATCAACATTCTCTACACACAGCTAAAAGGATAACTCATATATTTGATTCAAACACACCTAAGGACTCCATGTAATACAACATCTAACTGACATTATCTAATCAGCACATTGTATGTATACCAGCACACACATACCAGAGCACTGCTAGCCTTTTATCCGCGGCTGTAGCATCTGGTGCCAAGTAATTCTTCAATTTCATAGTGTATCTACAAGCAAACACATCACAAACAAAAACTAAAGCATTACACCAGCTTTTTAAAATCACCATCATACACACATAAGTTCTTATAAATTTCTAGTTCAAAGGGTTTTCCATTTCAGGAATCTTTCTCAGGTCTAAACAAAAAGCTGAGATAACTGAAATAATTTTGCTTTTTAGAAAGACCTCAAGAACCCTAGATGAAAGCATCTCAACCTTTGTGAAAATGCTTTAAACCTCCAAAACTCAAAAGAAATGGTGAATGAACTAGTTTTACCCAWGAGCAATGAGAGATTACAGAGGTTGGTGCAGAGACATACAGAAGTTAGTGTGCAGATAGAGTAAAATCTAGCTTCACTTCCTAAAATCTTTCCAAAGACTTGATTTTGCACCTGCTTTACAACACTTACTTGATTAATTCCACAGTTTCTGAATACATAGGGAACGGGGACTTGGATTCCTGAGCATTTTTCTCCAATGCATTCCCACACTCAATGAACGACACTACAGCATCTAGGTAGTACACAGCTTTCTCAAACCTGTCAGACTGAGAAGGAAAAAAAAATCTAAGAACAAAAGGYAGAGACACATACAACAAAGTTCCAGTAGGAAACGACAGCAAAAGGACAAATTCTGTAAAAAAAAAAAAAATCCAGTATAATGTTCAAATATTGGATAAATATTGGAGATCATCTTACCAACGCATCTGCATTATGTTTTAACTTCTTTGCTTCTTGTAAATAATGATCAGCTGAGTAAGTTCTGCAAGACAAGACACAGAAATTCAAGGACTTGGCACCACCCATACTGCATTTCATTTTATGACTTAGGTTTCTTAATTTTTTTTTTCTCTTTGTATCTCAAATTACAGGAGCTACAGCATTATTAATCTTGTTTAGTAGATTTAGTAGTCATGAGACAGACTCTCATGACTTGATTAGTAGTGGGTATTTATTAAACTCTAATTACACATTTCAATATATTAATGTTATAAAACTGTAATTACACATTTCAATACATTAATGCAATACCTATGAGTTCATTGAGTGAAGTTCAAATTAAATTCTCCCATCCATCCTATTTTAAGGGAGATTCTTAGCCTRCAGGCTAAGAATTAAAGATACTAGAAATCAGCATTTTGATCAGCTACTTGCCTTCAAAACACACTATTGTTCTTAAAATTTATGAGATAAAATTGTATAAAAATATATACTTAGAATTATAAAATTCTGATTACAACACAAAATGAGAAATCCCTGCAATCTATTTTATCCTAAATGATTGATTGAACACAGYGTTCTAGAATCAAATTCACTTGACTTGAATTGTTTGGAATTCACTTCCAAACAATTCTTAATCAGGAAGTTACTTTCGCTTACTGGCATGACCATAATTTTATTTCTAAAAAGAGCCTGAGGACAAATTAAAGGCAGTGCATTAAGAGAAAGAATTGCGGTAAAATTTGAATTAACTGGTAGAAGTGAAAACTGAAGTCTATACAAGACAGCAAAGTATCTGTATTAAGTATCTATGTTCTTTCCAAGACATTTTCTTTGACAGTGCACAAGTGAATCGCATACTCTCAGTTAGCAATTTGAGAGCCAGATGCTCCTCTGTGTTGAACAGCAGCAGCCACTGGCTGCAGAAGCATGTCCTGCTCCAGAGCACAGGCTCGCAGCTGGCTGCAGTGTCCTTGCAGGGTGAAACAGGCCCACCAGCACTTCAACCATCACAGCAGCCCTCGTCTGCTCCCCAGCTTCTCATGCCCCTCAGGAGCTCACAAGACGAGGGCAGCTCCTCTGCAGGACCTCGCTGCTGGCCAACGAGTGACACACGGAGCAGCCAGACAAGGACATGCCTACAGGGGCAGCGTGCGGTTGTGCAGTGTTAGATTGTACTTAACACCAGCTCTGAGAGAGACAACTCTTGTCCACATGGACACAGCTGCGCTCTGGGATTAAAGGTCCCACGAAGAGAAAGACACGAGCGAGGTACGTTCAACTGCTCTTACCTGTCATCAAAAACAAGCTTTGCTCTTCGTGACTTTGAACTCTCCACTGACGGATTAGACACAGGAGGACAGTTTGATGAATTGTTCAGAATCTTCTCCTGAAAGGAAAATTATTACCAAATAACACATTTAAAGAGTAGTTAAGTCTTTTCTGTTGTCTGCAAACAAAATCATYGACTCCAGAAGCCTTCCACTCCGGGAGCACTATCAATACACTGCCAGTAAGAGCTATCTGTTGCTTTAGTTCTCCCTCAGAGCAGTGATCCTTCCTGGTCATTTTTAGACTCTGCTTTTGAAGGTTTTGTAGGCTGCAGATCCTGCTAGTGAGGTCTGCAGCTGAATAAACTGCTGCAAGGTGCGATCCCATCCTTCCCCACAGGCTTGGGACCTTCCTCCAGAGCGCTCAGAGCAAGATGACACCGACCCCTCCAGTACACTTTGCAGTCACAAAGACAATGGAGAAATTCATCCAAGGTAAACATGCCATGCCCCAACAACCGGCTATACAATAGAAAATGTTTATCTTGGGTGTTTGATAACACAGTTTAAACTGTGGTATCACAGTTAACACTGTTGGGTGTCCTCCTAGGCTAACTTCTGTCCAGTAGTACATGTTTACATACTGATGAAAAGGCACAGCATTACCAGTTAGTGACTTAAGAGCACCACCTCCATGATACTTTTAAAACCATCACCTAAATATCTTGCTAAACTATATTGATCAAAAAAGTGGTTTTCTGTATCATCTTTCTGACAGTGTCTTCTCCCCTCCAACCACAAAGAACTCCTTAGGTTCCCAAGCTGGCATCTTTCTGAGGTTCCTGGTCCCAGTGTGTCACACCTGGCTAGTTYACATAAGCATTCAGGAGTGTGAAGCATTAGTATTCCACAAGCTCCACATTTATTGACTTCTATGTACTTACACACTAGGACATGAAGAAACGCACACCTAGAACTAATCACATTTTAGATTGAACTGCAAATTACTGTTTAGATCAAGCTGAGCACCTTAAACTGCAAATCAAAAATGAACAAGCATTAAGTGTTTACAGAATAAACCTTTTACCTTGGCTTCTTTTGCACTGCTTGAACCCTTCCCCTCTGTCTTCTTTTGCTTAGAAGATGAGCTGCTTTTACTACCACTGCTGCTCTCCTTATTAACATTGCTGCTAGACTTCAAGGAAGACGACTGACTGATTGTCCTCTTCCGGGACCCATGTTCTTGCTTGGAATCCTTCTGAAGGACTGGGGCAGCAGGAGAAGGCAGTAAATCCTTTTCTTTAACAACACTTGGCTTTGAAGACCTAAACAAAATGAATAAATTATTTTTCTTTTTATTCAAGGAAAAAAAGAAGAAAGAAAAAAAAAAGGCCACAAGACTAAACAGAGCACAAGAAACTAACGCCAATGTTAGCACTATCCTGGCTATTGCAGCTAGTCAGCCTGACAGCYCAGAAGAAAGCTGCACCAGATAAGTGTTCTCTGGAACCCAGGAAATGGGAAAATACCCGAGACTGCTGAGGTTTGCTATTGCTGGCTTCCCACTTGACAGATAAGGCGCTGAAAATAAGTATTTATACACAACATTTTAATAAAATTATTTTGTTTCAGGTTAAGTGTCTTTCTGATAAAAGCACTCAAACAATCAAGCAAATWTTAGAACAGAAAAACCAGAAACAAAACAGAAACCCTTCTACTTGTTTTACACCCGTTTTCTGAACTGTAAATCTGAAGTAAAACTGTCTCAAGAATAAGCATAAGTGAAATTTTCCCCATTGATCAGTAAGGAGGAGATACTTGGTAAGGGGAAGAGTAGGACATTCACGTTCTCCTTGACCACACTGAGGTCCCAACATCAGAAGCACAGCCAAGATTCCTGAAGATACTCACTCCCTACTGCTGGAAGTCTTGTGTCCTGATGAAACTTTTTCTTCCAGTTTCGTTTTCTTGCTTTCACTGGCTCGATTTTCATCATCGTTCTGAATAAAACAAGCAAGAAATACATAAAGGCAAACGTTCACAGCTTCACTGAGTGGGGTAATGCTTGACATTTAACAGAAGGCATTTGGTGGGCTCTCACAGTGTACAGAATAGCACCCTTACGCACCACAAAAACATTCCTAAAGCGCCTAGTCCATACAGATGCTGCACCAGACCCTGATCTTGGAACATAGTGAAAAAACAGGCATAGCTTATAAACTGCCAACCTGCCTCAGAGCGGGGCAACGAGGTTGCTCATATTAAAACAACCACTATYGGACACAATAAATAATAAATCTGCCCAAGGCTTCAGTATGAAATTGGGAGACAAATTTTATGTTGGGAAGCCCCACAGCACTAGGGTCTTACAAAGTTGAGGGGTAAAATAACGTGCAAGACTAAAAAGCTAAGTTCAGAAATGAAGACTAGATCTTTAACAGAAATTTCACTCTAAAGTTGAAGTGTTTTGAAGGAGAATTTCCTTATCAATTTCAAAATGCACTGGAAACAGAAATACAATGAACTAAATGGAAAATGGGGCCTCAAGTCATCTGGCAACATAACCCAGATTCAAAACCAGGTTTCACTTTTGTCACCGTRCTGCTGCAGCCCTGCACAGCATGATCACGGAAACCTGTTAGCAAATAATGCTTAGAAATTAAGCAGTGAGTGACAGAGTTGGGTAACCTCAGCCAGCACCCACAAACCTAAAAAGCAGCGGGGTGAGGGCAGGGGAGCTTCCTGCCGGCTGCCCCAGGAACAGGCCTGCACCTTCTGCACCGGGCGAGTCGGCTGAGGATTCAGAYTGATTAATCATCAGACTATTTGTGGGCATAAAGCCTAAATTGAAACGGGTCATACCAAAGCCTTGTTTTTAGAAGCAAGAGCACGGCGCTTTAATGCTGTAACTACATATGTGAACTGAAAGGCATAATTGGCCAAGGAAAGAGCCTGAGCTAGGAAGTGTAGAAGAAACCCTTGCTCGCAGTTACATGTCAGGTCTCCTAGGCGATACCAGCTCCCAGAAAGCGATCAAGTTTAGGTAGGTTGCTCAGTACAAAAAATGGATTAACTAGAACTGCTGTCTGTCTCCTTCAGGGTCAAATGACTCTGAGTGATACCAGCTAATTTTCTGAAAACCTRTTTTACGGCCACTGCCAAATTCCTGCCAAAACTAAAATTTCAGAATGAAATCCAAATCAGTACAAACTTTTTTTTTTTTTTTTTTTTTTTTTAAATCCCTGAAGCATAGCTTCACAGTTCTCAACTCATTCTGGGGAAAACAAATATTTACTAAAACTCCCAACATCACTGTGTTCATCCTCCAGAATAGGTTTGCTCCTTATACGAGCTGTATATTTTCTATTCAATCATTTTGAAGGCATTTTTAAAATCCCACTACCAGCTACTACTTAMCAACGTTTCTTCCCAATACTACTACTTCTATTAAGCTTGTACTCATTAATTTTGTCCATTTTACTGCCTTCAGGGATACCTACCTTTTTTATAGTTGAAAAGATTTTTTTGTTTGTTTTTAAAGATCCGAGAAGATAAAACACCATTATCTCAGCAGTCCTCACTAAAGCAGCACACTGAGCTCATGGGGGCTGCTGCGACACCCCAGCCCCATTTGTGCCCCAGCCCCATTTGTGCGGCGCTCTCGTGCGAGTGCATGACTCACTGCTCTAGGCCCTGCTCTTGCTGGAACAGAGTTCCTCTTGGCCAGGTGAGATTGCAGCTGGATCCACTCCCCCAGCTGACTTGCAGTGCAGCAGCGAGCAGGGCCAGACCAAGCGAGGTCAGGACAGGGCATGAGAGCAGGACTCGCACTTGCCAGGGCCGCAGGCGAGGAGGAGCCGCAGGAGCAGGGCCGCCCCGGCTGCAGGGCCAGCTCTGCCATGGGCCCAGCCCCTTGCCTTCCCCTCTTCCCTCCAAAGAAAATCCCACTCATCCTTCTCATAACAACACAGGAATGATCATTCTGGTCTACACGTAACAGCCGACCTGAATCACCTCCCATACTGCTCAGGAAAGCTGCTGCACTGAGGCATGACCCGGGTTCCTGGGCTACACAACCCACTTCAGCCACACTTCACTAGTGGGATTGAGATAACACACTTTTTYTCACTACAAAACTCATCACCTGTTTGTGTTTCCTTTTGCCTTTTGTAGAGTTTTTGTCAGAGGGCTGCTTCTGAGAATCTCTCGCGTGCTTCTCCGGCACGTTTTTCTTTTCCGCTTTGGGTGCGTCAGCATCCTTGTAAGGCTTCCCTGGTATTCTGGATAAGAGGCTCAGGTCAATCTTCACAATAAGTGGGTACCTTTCATCAGGATCACTGAGTGGTGAAAGAAGTTCTTTCTCTTCCATAGGAGAGAACATTCTTTGCCGAAAAAAGCTGTCATCCTCCTCCATGGAAGATTTAACAGGAGTCCTATTGCTCTCAGAGTATTTGGGTGTTTGTGATGAAGGAGGCAGGCTCTCATTTTCATCTGAATCAGAGGATGAGGTATCTGTTTCTATGAATTCCCTGGATTTCTGGGCAGGTTTGCTTGAAGCCTTATATTTCTTTTTCTCTATTGTAGGCCGAGGGGAAGATTTGGGCTCCTTCTTTATATTAGGTTTTCTGGAACCTTTTGTGGCTGCCTTATGCCTATTTGAAGGTATATTTGTTGCCATGTCTACAGGAGTTTCACTTTCTATTTTGAGACCCCCTCTAGGCTCTTCAACAGATGTCTTCTCTGCCTTCTTGGGCTGCTTTTTACCTACAGTCCTCCTCTGTGTTGAGCTGTCACTCTGGGCAGGTGATTTCTGCCTGCCACGACTGCTCTCCGAGCCCTTTTGGGTGGATTTGGAATCTCGCCCAGGCGTAGAAGAAATCGAATCCTTGGATCCGCTTTGATCGGTATATCCGCTCCCTGCCCCCTGGTCCCGTCCCTCCTTTTTGTAGCCTTGTGAGGATGGGATATTGCTGTCCACGGAAGAAGCTGGTGATACTTTATGTGGATTAACTTTGTTCAGCCAGTTATCCAGTTGCCACTTGTTTGTTGGCGGTGGCTCTGGCTGAAATGGAGTAAGAAAAAGCAGCATTAGATACAAATATCTACTGTATCAGGGCTGTACGTGCTGCATGGCGAAGCAAGAGGCACTCCAAAACAGCCGAGAGCAACGGGGAATGAAGCGCAGCTGAACGTAACGTATGAATAACGTTCTCACTCTTCCTTCACCTCAAACCCTACCTCGGGGGACGCGCTCTGCGATGGTTCGTTAGCTTCACTGTCACTGGAGCTGCTTTCGCTTTCAGAGTCGGAGCCCGAGCTGCTCTCAGATCCGCTGTGGCTGCTCGAATCATCCCTGGAGTTATCTGCTCCTTCACTGTTATGCTGTGAAGGTTCAGAATTACTGAAAACAGAAATAAAGAAAAATAAAYGTCATGCAAGCCACAAATACACTTCCGGTAGCAGAAATAAAATTAATATTGTAATTAACATGAGAAAATTCAACATAATGAAACACAGCGACTATCCTGGAAACAAGTGCATGCCTTTCTGCTTTTTCTCCCCTTCTCCAGACAATTAGTATAATTTTTAAGGAATATGTTATTTAATCAATGATTATATTTTAATCCTCTTTTGTTTTAAAACACATGACAAACGTGCATTTTAGCAATGAGATCAAGCTGAAAGTGCTGAGTACCATCCTTTGTTTTCTGGGCTGCAACCCACCAGGAATGCCTACCTTCCAGGTGTGCTCCTTGGCACCGTCTTATCACAGTCCTGTAATTAAAAAAAAAAAAAAAAAAAAAAAAGATGATGAAGTTTCTAGAAGTTATTTTAGAACTGCATATACTGTTAGGTTGAAAAGTGACAATTTTGAGCTTTTAGATTTTACAATATTTAGCTGCAGTAGCACCTTAACTAAGTACTTGGCAGCCACATACAAATATCTTTCTTTGCACCACAGATGTGCTATTTTCTGAGGTCCTTTTGTATTCTAACTAGAGCTCTAACTAGAGCTGTAAGAGTTCCCATTTCCTCTGTTCAACAACACGTTTCCAACTTTTTGGATTCAAAAATGAGTTCAATTTYGAATTCAGACAATTCAGAATTCGGCAATCTGCTTCCTGAGATGCCCTGAGTACTATTACTTAACCAGCTAAATGAAATACCTTTTTGGGGGGGTTGCTTGTTTTTCCTCTTCAAAAAGAAGGCTATGGACTGCTGCTAGGTACCAGAGACCCTACACGTATTTTAAATTTAGCATTCTGAATGCTAATTAGCTATTATTGACAATGAGGAAGAGACTTCTCAATGAAAATAAAGGTGCTGCTATACCTCCAGTTAGAGACAATGACTGGTAATAAAACATCACACAGTCRCTTTTATCACAATTTTGAGCCAATAGGGCAGAATATTGAGTGTACTATTTTTAAACAGCAGGCCATCATATGCTCTTTTAAGTGCATTCTATTTCCATATTATATTCCTAGAAAGTACATTTGATATCAGCAAAACACCACAAGAGTGTCTAGATAAAAATGTGCTGTTTCTATAACACAGAGAGTTACAACACAGATAATTATAAGCTACATTTTTTAATAACTGAAAGTTTATCCAAACCATGGCTATTTGGTTCTTTTTTTAGGTACAAATGTCCTCTTGGGGCTTTGCCCCTCAGTTTTGAGCACTGCTGAGGTGCTCGTTGGTGAATATATTCACTATGTTTTTCTGAAATTTTGATATTTAAGAAACATACCTGCTCTCCATCGCTGTCTTCACTACTGCTAAGTTTTAAGTCATCTTTCAACATACTAAGTAAAAGGGAAAAAGTGAGACAAGTTTTTCCACATGCTCTAATTACTTTCAAAGTATTCATCTCTATCCCAACATGCTACTGTTTACACTACTGAATAGGCTGCGTGGGCGAAACCCATAAGAGACCATTCTAAAACATTTAACATATAACAATGGTGAATTAAATCAATCTTTAGAGAAAGATAAAGATTTTAACTCATTAGTCTGTTAAATTTAGCAAGGAAATCTGACACTTTATTAATACAGGAGGAGACAAATGCCTGTGTTCCCCTTCTTGCACACAATGGACAAGAGCACTGTTTTCAACAGAATTAAACACTAGTTTAGGTAACACTAGGGGCCAATACTGTTCCCTGTCTTGTGAGAACAGTACAGCTACTCTAAATTATCATTTTCCCATTACTATTTGAAACCAATTAATCTATTACTTATGCTATTAATACATACATAACACCTTCACAATGCTGAAAATATATGAATGCACAGAAAGCATGTAGCATGATATGGGGCCTTTGTGCTTATCAAAAACCACTTTTGATTACAAAAATAAAACATCTTACTCTGTCTGGTTCGATTCACATCTGGAGAAAGAAAATGAGAAAGGGTTAAAAGTCTAATGCATCTGAGTAGAAGTCTCACAGTACGGCTGCTCTACTGAAAATTTGAAGAGAAACACTGACTTAGGGTCCAAGTCCCACTATATTTTTCATTGCTATCCCCTTCTAAGACACTTAAAATAAAAAGCTTTCACACTGTGCACAACTGCTTCTTCCTACACATCCTAATGCAGTGACTGTCCAATACTATAGCTTGCTCACGGATGTTCTCACATTATCTGGCTATAGATATAGCACAGTTCTTCCTGCTGTGATAAAACCAAAACGGTGAACTGTTTCTATCACTAATTGAACTGGTCGTATATAAGGACCTTCTTAAACAACATATTTTTAGGAAACTGCCTATAAGTCTACAGTACTTCAAGTTTTATTTTCATTGTTTCTTTTCCCATCTCACTGGCCTTGTGCTTTTTAATTTTAATACTGTAGGATGTCCACTAAGGAGCAGACCTAATTTCATTTCGCAATTATATCCCAAGCTCAGCTTCCAACAGCTAGTTTTCTGAATCTAAAACCACTTCCGTTGAACATACAACCAAGTGCGAAAATTCCACTGCCATCAACATGCTTGTTTGGTAACGATCTTTGAACAGCACATGTTGGATTTGCAGGAGCAAGAATGAGGCTACAGCCACTGAGAAACTTCCCATTGTATTTTTTCCTGGCAATTGCAAGACAGAAGCGTTACGCTGTTTGCATACTTCAATAAAAATAATTGGGGGCCAGTTAGGACACCAGATATAAATTTAGCCAGATCTCTGCAAGTGTAGCTGCTATCTCCTCAGCATGGAAGCAGTTCTCATCCTGCCTCTCCACCAAGGGCTCCGAGCYGGCAGCCCCGTGGGCACCAGCCCTGCTCCTCTGCACTGCATGAAGGCAGCTCCCAAGGCGATTCCTTGGCACAACCCTCGCGTGCCCATCCCAGGAATAACTGGCAGGAAAGTACAGCAACCGAAATAGGGCACAGCCTATTTGCTACTTGCACCAACGTGCCACAGCTGGTCTGCTGCCCCAGAGAACTGGTGTTCAAAGAACGTGATCCTTAAGTATGTTAARGGAGTCTGTGTGAGAACTGATGCATTCTAGTAACAAGGGAAACAGCTATTTGCCAAATCTTAAATATATATATATATAAATATATATATACATATATATGTGTGTGAAGATTTTACATATATATGTTTATGTATATATATATATACATACACAGAGATAACACTTCTCAAACAACCACTGAATTCTTACTCAAGAACCACTTACGATTTGGATTGATGACCATTGGAGGCTTTTGATGAAGGATTGTATCTTTCTAGATGGAAAAAACAGAAGAGAAATACAGAGTTTAAGACTCAGCCAGGAAATGTGCCAACTCCAAAGCTGCCAGAGGTAAACAGCCCCAGCTAAACAGACAGGAGAATGGCTGAACAAACAGGAGAAGCCAATAACTAGTTGCAACCAGGTACCACCTCTCACATGCCAAAYAAATGAGTGGAGGCAGCAACAAAATGCTCAACACAACAAGCAAGCTAATCGAGAAGAGAATATACATCTACAAATTTGTTTACATCATAGCTGTCAAAAGCAATACATGCAGAATTTATTCCGAATGGTGTGAACAGTTGTTTTGCTCCTGTGAGGATTAACCTCTTCCCTCCCCCAGGCAGGACAGGGAACAGAGATCAGCAGGTCAAGTTCTGGCGTGTTTCAGCATCCCTGCATGGAGGAGCAATCTTTAAAGCCACAGAGCAAACTGAAAACAATTCTGAAACAGAAATATCTAACAATATCTAGTTTTCTTTTTTTTTTTTTTTTCTCTTTCTACTCTTATCCTTTTATTATTATTTTAACTTTCAGTAGTTTGACAAACATAGTACAACAGGAACAATAACTATTGTTCCCCAGGAAAACTCAAACAGGAGTTAAAAAGTGTCTCTGCATTTTGATTAACTTTTGTCTCTCTGTTTAGACACCTAAAAATCTGTAGTTCCTGTAACATAAGTCTATGATTTAGTATTATGGAATTAAGCTTTGTTTCCCTAATTCCCTACTGTATTAGGTGTTTACAGTAAGCTACTTGTGAATATCTAAAAATAAACCACTCCGCTTTTACTATTTAATCTGTTTAATCACTTAGGGAAGGAGTAGAAAGACTTCTGGAAGGCAACTGTAGAAACCTATTTCAATTTCACCAGGTACACTACCAGCAYTAAATTATTAATTCCAATAAGAATCAAAATAGAGTAAAAGAGGAATAAGAATTGCTTTTGTCCAAAATTTGAAAATGCATTTTGGGCCAAGAAACAGAAGCATATGACTAAGCATATTACTATTCTAGCTCTTCAGCAGAACTTTCTTTTGATTTTACATCCCCAAAAGGAATATGACAAAGATAAAGGAGAAAATGTAGTGCACATATGCATAAAATGTGCACATATGCAGTGTTTCCTACATGTCCCCAAGATGGAACTTCCTCCCCCTTCTCCCTTCAAATAAGTTCTAGGGTTCTTTTGTTGGGTTATTTGTTTTCTAAAGTACAGTTATTTTCCATCAGTTTAACCAATCCRGGAGGCATCATTTCAAGAATTAGAGAACATTACAAGTTGTAGCTGAATATTTATTTTTTAGAAGACAGTACAACCTTGCAACTTGGTCATAGCTTTGGAACTGTCATCGCAAAACATGACAGACAACCAAATAATTGTTTTATAGGTTAAAACTTGAGAAAGTAGGGAAAAACTTAAAACTTAGACTTTATCCCTATGACCAATCTGGAAAATTTCATTCTCTGAAAAGCCTAATATCCCAAGGGATATTAAGAACAATGAATCACAACAAAAACATTCAACATGTTTTAAAGGAAGTTTAATATACTCACTCTGTTCTCCAGTGCCAAAACTGGACTGTTGAGAGTCCTAAGGGGAAAAAAGATCAGAGAAGTTTTTTCAAAGAGGATTTCAGCACATTGAAAATCATGCTGTAATCAAGCTATTTTTTTTTCCGCTTGCAGGATGGCACCTAACATCAAAAGCAAACAAACCAAACCAAACAAAGATGGATTCTTAGGCAGGCCCCAACTCCTTTTTATCAACAACAAGGTACATCAGGGATGTAGCATTTCAAGGCTTGACATTCCTCCTCCTYAGCTCATCCATCCCTGCTCTGCTGTTGCAAGAAAGGCCATGTGTAGCTGTATTTCATGACACCTGAAATCCAAAAATCCCTGTGCAACTTCTCCGAGTCCTACCTTTACGCATGCTCAGCACAGAGAAGCAGTTCAGTATAGGTTTTCCCCCCATGACTTTCCTTACACACAGAAAAGCTTTCTTGGTAGTTCTTGTATGTTYTCTCTTAATTTCCTTTCTCTGCATTTATCTTATTATTAGGAAAAACAAAAGAAAAGAGAGCATAAAAGGCAAGGAAAATCCAAACAGCCTCGCAAATTTTAGCACCTAAGTATTCCAATTCCAAGAAACCCTTTCCACCTTCCAAATGTAGTACGTTATCTGCTTATTCAAAGCATAAAATATTGTTTTAACAAACAAAAAAAGCAGCAGCAATTATCAGAAGCTGCCTTCTAAGCTAGAATGCCGTATTTCAGTAGCACCTTCCTGCCTGACCTCATTTTAAAACGAAGAAAAATGCTGACTCTGTAAAGAAAAAATGAAAACACTTGAGTCTACTCACAAAGTTTTATACACGTATTTTACTCATACACTTTGCCAATAGAAAACCAGAAGAATAATTCAACAAGTTGTAGGCTTTTTAGTATGCATCTCTCCAAACAGCCAAATCAATAAAGTACAGCAGTTATATATAGAATTTGAAAATACCTATTCAAAAAAAAAAAAAAAAAAAAAAAANCAGCTTTGCAGAGCACACTTGGATATTTTCTTGGATATTTTCCAATTTCCTTTAACTTTTTTTTTTTTTTTAAACTTTTTATTTCCAAATTGAAAACCATTGGAATAGTGTGCTCCAGAAAGCAGGCTACATCACTACTTTCAAAAACACAGGAACTTTCATTTGAAGGTGTTTCAAATGCCTCTAATCTTTACAACTTGAACAAACGGAAGGGACAATAAAAATGAAATTAGCCTAGGTTTAAATGCAAAGCCAAGATGCGGTCGGAAGGAAGTCGTTGTGTGACTTCACGGAAAGCAGCAGCTCTCCGGCAGCTCAAGTTCGACTGATTTTTATCTTTTACAGAGATAGAGGGAATGCAAGTGCGATCCCCCAATCTCCTCCTCCCTCAGTCACCTTAGGTCAAGGAGAGGGATGAGGCTGAAATCCAAGGGGCAGGAAAAGGGTCTCGGGTGCCCAGCGCGGCCGCCCATGACCAAGCTCCACACCGAGCACCAGCCCCTGGCCGCTCCGGCTCCCTCCCGCCTCAAAGGCACAGGGCGCTTCCCGGTGTCTGCACTTTAACGAGGTGTTCATTTAAAGGTGCAACTTCTCCCTAAAACATAGCCATCTACATTATCTCCCAGTATGTATTTCTTTAAGAAACTCAGTTTAAAAAGTAAACTTTCAACTCCAAACAAATTTAGAGCAATATCTTCTGGAGGACAAGCTCAGAAAGAAGAAATCAAAAACAACGTGAAGGAAGGAAATCCTTTTAGGCTAACAATACCAGGCGGTGAGGCCGGGCAGTTCAGGCACTTGAGCAGGAAGCGCCAGTGCCGCCTGCAGGGACAGGGACACTGCCCGAGCAGGGGCTGCCAGCTGGGCGCCCGGCACGCACCGCGAACGGGACCATTGCTATTCATGCTCCAAACCTCCGCTCGGATGTCTCATTTTCATTCCCCAGGTAAAAGTCCCCGTGTCAGGAACCAGGGAGCAGCAGCCCTGCCTCCCGGCCTTCCCCGCGGCTCGGGCACGGTGGCAGCGCTCCAGGGTGCCCACGTGCCACACAGAAAGGAGGCAAAACCTGCCCGTGAGGAGAGGCCGCTGCGGCTCCAGCCCAGCGCCTGCCACCCTTGAGGAAACTGCCGAGTTTTCACCRGCATTCCATAGGCACACCAGGATTTTCACTCCGGAGTTTTAGACCATAGGCCCGTGGCTTAAAAAGCAAACAAAAAAAATATGTAGTGCAAAGTTGCGGAGTGTTAGGCAGCTGGATAACATTCTTACCAAGACTCAGGAATCTGAGTTTTCTTCATTGAATCCGTAAAACTTTCCCTGACCTATTTCCATGTAGTTTAATCTTCTGATTCAAAGAGAACCTGGTAATAAAACCTGGATAAATTTATAGTAATGCTGAGAGGTTCCAATCAGGAATTTGGGGGCTCTTCTTGCCATTCTTGCCCTAGTGAGAGGGATCTTATCTCAACCAATCCCATAAATAAACTAGTCCACCAAACCAAGCTTAATGTGCACAGGAAAGGGCACCAGCCTTGCGCACACGAGAAGAACAGTGTGAAACTTTGCAGGACACTGTGTGTAAGCAGAACACTGTACTAAAGCCCAGCTTTCCTAGAGCAGCACTGCTTGACTACAGCGAATGCCAGTGCTGTTTTGTTTGCTGCATTCTGCGCCGGCTCCAGGCTAAACAAGCCCATGGCTCGCTAACTTGCTGGAATCCTGAGAAGATCCTGCTGCCAAGAACGACAGCGGGGAGAAGGCAACGGAAATTATAGGCTTTGGATGTGGAGAGAGAAGTTGACAGAGTTCCACGGCTAAGATGTGCAGCCACAGAATAAAAAAGCTGGCAAAAAATCAAAAGACTCAGAGCAGCCATAAATGGAATTTTTTTGCAAGCTGGGTGAGGAAATGCTATCCAGGTTGGTAGGTTCAAAAAACCACAACCTACCGTTTTTGTTCATATAGCAGCAAGACCACAGGATCTTATTTAGTTTCCCTCCACATTTCTGCACACCTTTCAGGCCAAATTAAGTCAAATGGACAAAGAATGGAACAGTCCATAGCAATTCTACAGGGTGCTTGCAGTGTAAAGGGAAAACACCTCCCCAAGGATTCAGGAGCAAGTAAAGCAGTGAAGTAAGTTTCTTCTTAAGAAAGAA